ATGTGGGTTTTTTGTTTTGTGAAACCGGGGATTGAACTCAGGATCTTGTGCTTGCCAGGGAAGCGCTTATTCCACCGAGCCATCTCCATGGCCCCTATTCTGCCATTTTAAGTCCTTCTCTTCTACAGCCTTTAAAGCATGGAGTCCTTATCATTATGGAAAGCTTCGCCTGTCATCTCCTCTACTAAGGGGAGATACTGCAGCACTTTTGGGCTGGCTGGCCTAGAGGCTTCTTGGATGGGCAGTCACATAAGGACAGCAATGACTGTCCATGCTAGAGGTCTGTCTCTCGGCTTGGATAGTTTTCCCAGAAAGGAATCCTCTGGTTTTCCACATGTCCAAGGTGTGTCTGGTCACCAGCACTCCAAACCAAGTGGGCAAGTTGTGTCTATCAAGTGCAGGCCAAAGCAAATAGGGGCCTTCTGCCACATACCTAATTATTATAAGCCAATCTCTTAGACCCTTGTCTGCAGGTTCACCTGTGAGCCGCTTGGCCTGGTAGACCCAGAGGCTACAGGGACCATGTCTTCCCATCTGCACTCCTGGCTGCAAGCTTCGGTTCTAACAGTTCTTTTGAGGCATAAGAGTAGAAGGATGAGTGGATCTCTGTTTGTTCTTAGAGCTTCCAAACAGAAATGAAGGCCGGAATAAGTGTGCTGGCAGAGCTGGGCTCCAAGGGAGCACTGCAAATGTGAGTGTCTTTTGCACTTCTGCTCCACGGTGTCTCTGCACAGCAGAATCTGTTTTCCAGCTTCCAAAACTGATGCTTGCACTCTCCCTCCATTCTCCCTGGACTTGGAGGTTTACACTACTTTTGCTCTTTTGCTGTTGCTCCAGTGGTGCCTGGAAGGAGAGAAAATCAGTGCCTACATTCAGCTTTCATGTTTCACTGGAAGACTTTGTTGCTTCTTGCCTTTTTATTTTAAACATAATTAGTGAGTTTGAATATCTTTCCATAAATATAGAAATCTGTACTTTTGTGAATTTCTTATTTATATAGTTTACCCTTTTGAATATTTATATCTTTTTTATTATATTGAAAAAGTTCTTTTCAAATTTAGGTTATTCACGTTCTGCCCCTCGCATAGGTTGTAGTATTTTCTTCAGTTTGTCTTCAGAAAAGAAATGTTTGAACATTTTACTTGGATGTCCTCAAAACTTGTTGGTTATACCACTTCATCACCTCTGGGCTCCACATCAAATATGGAAAAGCCTTCACAGATTAGAAAAATGGTTACCCTTATTTTCTCCTGCACTTTTGAGATTTTCTTCTTAGATTTACATACTTGATCCACCCGGAACTTATTCTGAAGGAATGAGGTATAGATGGATCCAGGGTTTTTTTTCTTCCAAACGCCTAACCATGTGCGCATTCATTGAACAACTTATTGAACAATACATATTTTCTTCACTGACCGGAAGAGACTCATTTATCACATTCACTTAGTTTATTCCTACACTCTGTGTTGTTTAATTATGTGTCTTGCGACCACTGGGCCAGCTCTGTCTTTCCATTGATGTCTGTGGATTTATCATGGATTTCAGAGTCTGGGAGGCTCTTTGGTTTTCTGAACTTTCCTAGCTATCCTTGTGTGCTTATCCTTCTGGATGAATGTTATGTCATTTTTGTTTCCAAAGTAAATCCTCTTAGGATCTTGATTGGGTTTGAAATAGTACAGTAAAATCCTAGGTTGTGACCATAAACACGCTTGTAAGCCAAAGCACTTGTATATCAAAGCAAATTTCCACTAAAGAAATAATAGAAATTCAGACAATTTCTTCCATAACTCAGAAACATTCATATAAAGTGATTATAATAGTGTAATATAATGCAAAAAACAAAAAATGTAAAACATGAATATAAACAAATTAACCTGTCCTTAACCTTTGAAAACCTTCATGGCTGGTGTGAGAGAAAAGAGACAGGAAGGTCATCGCTTACAGCAACTTTCACTCACTAATGGATCACTACTGTCTGCTGACTCGGTGGAACCTTTTCCCTTCTGTGAAAATTTTAACAAGGAAACTGTCCAATGACACTTGCTTTTGTCTCTTTTTGAAGATTTCTTGGAAATGTGACATTGCTTTGTCCTTAAACAGATTCAGTCCTTGCTGGGTGGTGCTGGATGACCACATGGCTTACAGTTCAAAACCCATCCCATGTTTTCTCCAAAGCAAAAGTCAGTAGACAGAAATCTGCGAAACCAAGGCAAGTCTCCTCTCAGGGAGTCCCTCATGCCTCTGACAGAAGTGTGGATGCCCCTAGGAGCCGGTTAGCCCCAGTCAGAGGAATCCTGGGCAGAACCATGGATGGCATTTGCTTGTACCTCTCAGAATTACTTCCACCATTTGAAGAAGACATAGGGGAGAAAACCTGATAAATACCAGATTTGTATAGCAGATGTTCTGTTTGCCTTTCCTGCCTTGTCATCATTGGGGATTTCACCTTTCAGCATCTCTTAGCACTGCGGGACTCGGGGATTCAGTGGCCTTTGCTCTCCTTGAGCATTCTGTCTTTCTAGTGGTGGGACTTAAAAGCTTCAAATAACCTACTGCAGTGGATTAGCAGCTATGGAGGGTGGTGGCATGTGGGTAGACTGTCGTGGGAACAGGCTCTGTGCTCTCCAGCTCCAGCTCAAAGGTGGAAAGTCAGGCACTCGCTGCCCTGGGTCAGTGCCGGTGCCTCCGTACTGGGAGGTGGGGGAGGTGGTCAGCGCAGTTCCAACAGACACAGCTCTGGTCTGTCTGCCTCTAAAACCTTGAACTTGGAGGACTGTTTGCTCACTGGCATCATTTAAGATAGCACCAACATAAATGCTTTCTTCGGGGCACTGGATTCACACATGATATCCCAGATGCCAGAGCTGCAATGAATATAGGAAGACTGTGTCCTGGACCCATTTGCTGAATCCAAAATGCGGGAACACAGCCACATCTGGTTCTCTCTAGGAGCAAAACCAAATGTTTATTGACAGGGACCTGAAGACTGATGTTTGCTGCTATTCTGTGCTCTGCAAGCAAATTACTTTCTTAGGGCTTTTCTCCTTCTTGATCCTCTCACTAGAAAACATTACTGGGTTTTGTAGTCTGAGTTTCTCATATTGTGCTTTAAAATACATGGTAAGAAAGTCATGAAATTTTAATAAAGATCTTTTCTTCCAGATTTCTCATGCAGAACTTTCTGAAGATGAAACATGGAAGTAAGTGATTAGTATTTTTTTTCTGATTGATTTTTATATTTATTTTTTTATTTACATCTTTTTGAGACAGGGTCTTGCTATGGAGTTCAGACTTGCCTTGAGCTCACTTTGTAGCCCAGACTGGTCTTGAACTCCCAACGATCCCCCTGCCTCAGCCCATTGAGTGCTTGGATTACAGGAGTGTGCCACAACGCCCAGCTCTACAATTGTTTTATTAAAACTATGTTTGCATCCTAACAGTTTGAGGAAGTGCAGTTTATCATTTAACTTGTAAATTCCCCAAGAAAGAAAAGGCAGAGATAGGAAAGCTACGTTTATTGATAGAACAAAAATACTAGAGACTAAAGCTGCTTGGTGGTGGGGATTCAGCTCAATGGGAGAAGGCTTGCCCAGCAAACTGCAGCCCTGGGTTCACTCCTCAGCACCAAAAACAAGAAATAGACCTCAACTAAAACACAGTTACAACCAAAAAATACCAGAAATTGTAAGACTGCTTGCATATCACCAGCTTCTTGCAGTTTGGTCTCTGTAGCCCCACGAAGCTAGATTAATGCAGTCTTCCAAACATGGTGGCCGGGAGCTAATATCTATTTGGGGCGCACGATGCATCTGGCTTTAAGTGTGAGCTCCTCGTGTGCTGGGACCCGCCCCCAGGCCACTGGGGATGGCAAGGTGCACGTGAAACAAAACTAACGGAGCCTCGTTTTTTGCCTGGTGGTAATTGTCACTGCGATTCCTGCCGACAGTAAGGAATGCTTCTTCATTTGGACACTAATTTAGTCTTTTCCAAGCACTTCTACACAAGTTAACCCACCTGGGGTGCATGTTAATTGTGTACATACATGTGTTTGTGTGTGTGTGTGTAGACATATGTGTGCATGCATACGCGAGAAGTAGGTTGATGATGAATTCATTCTTCTACCCACATGACCTAAGTTGAAAGTTCATTAAATACACATAATATTAAATATTTATTTTGGATGTATGGCAGCAAAAACCATAACTAAGCCCTTGTACCTTTTTCATTTTTCTTCACATTCCATTTCTTCGACAGAGTGAGTGTAGTCTTCACTGGTGTGAGCTTCTACAAATCATTCTTGTCTTTTAAATTTAGCTTCCGACAGAGATTAAGAGCTATGCGATTTTATTTAAGTCGCGTCCAGGATCTGGCCTCGGCTTCTCCGTTTGATCAATGAAGCCGTTTCCCTGCCTCAGTCTTCTCAGAGTCCACTGCCTAGAGGCTGGCCGCCCGCAGGACAACTGACAGGCTCAGCGGCTCAGTTCTACATCTTGTCCAGCAGGGGGCACCCCTAGGATTTGGATGGGGCCCTTTTGGAAGCGCTGGTACTTCAGGCTCTGGACATGCTGGTAGAGAGAAGCCCATTGGCGTAGCTCTCTAGTGCCTTGAAGAGGTCAGTCTTGTGACCCAGGTCGGGTCCTAGCTGTCTGCATGCAGTACCCACTTACAAGTGGGAACGATGCCCCGCTGTAGTGAAAGGTCAATTAGCCAGCATTTAGGAAGTAACTGGCAGCACTCCTCATCCTTGCCCCTTCTCCTAATCTTGACCCCACACCTCTCTCTTTCCCTCTGGACCAGCAGTTCTCAAACTTCCTCACTCCTTAATATCATATGGGAAGTTGTAAAAAGTATTCATGTTTTAAACATTATATAGCTATAGGCATGGATATAAGTGGATAGAAATATGTGATATGCCAGTGATATGTACAGCTTCTACATATCAGCTAAGCAATGAATTTAAATTTTAAAACATGAATTAATGATGCCTAGCTCCCATCTTGGGAACTGTCAGTTTGCGAAGACTCCCCTCTGCAAATGCTATGGCCAGGTGCCTAACAACAGAAACTTATTTAGCCAGAATTCTGGAGGGTAAATGTCAAGGGGTTGGCCAGTGTAGGCCAACAGGACGAGGACCTAAGGGCTCAGGTCTGCACCACAGGACTCTGGGGCAGGGAAAATGACTCAGCCCTAAGACACAGCGCTGATAATCAATCCTGGGTACAGAGTGGGTAATGGGATTTCTTAATACCTTCCATGATTTCTAACTGAAGCTCGAGGTCAAGAACCACTTCTCTAGGTTCTCTTCAAGGTCATTTCTAGTTAAGTTGTAGACATACATAGTGATTTCTTCTACCACTGTGCAAAACTAACTCCCCAACGAAAAATGGAAGCATCCTGCTATTATCTGTGCATGTTAAAGAAAATACAGAGGCACACCGTCCCCCGAGCCCTGCGATGACAGCCACACAGCCATCCGTACAGCTCGCTGTGGGGCTTTTGCTTGGATGATGTTCCCCCCATCGGCATAGGCACCATCGGCAGGGAAGCCCTTTATTTGGAAACAGCAGAAGCTACTTGAAATTACTAGTGCTCTTCTGGTTTTCACTTTCAAAAATGACAGTTTTATATTATTATGCCTAATAATTGTTATTATTTTTGGTGTAGGTACAAATAAAAGAGCATGCACCTTACAGTATTTTGTCATCTAAACTATGAGATATAGAGGGATTATCTTGAAATTACTAATGAAGACACTGAGGCTTAGACAAGATGAGTGAATTTCCCCAGGATATGAAGCAGTAAAGTGGCAAATCGGAGGTTGGAGCCTCAGTCTCCCAGGGCCATCAGTGCCTCTTAGCCTCATGGCTTACCTGGAGACATAAGACTGCTTAGGCAGGAAGTGACTGTAAATTCAAGCCCCGCCTGGGCAACTTAGTTGACATAAGGCTGTCAAATAAAATGCAACTTTAAAGGGCTGGGGGCTTCAGTGCAAAGATTCTGGTTTCAGTCACCAGTACCACACAGAGAGAAAGAGACAGAGAGAGAAAATAAAACAAGCTTTAAGTCAAAATCACATGGGAAAGCAAACAGTTGAGAGGCATCGGGGTTTGCTGATAGAATCAGCTCTTCTTTCCCAATCTGAGCATAATGGGAGGAAAGCAAGAGAGTTTGTAATGAAAACCTACCACCACCTTCATCTGAAACCCTCATTTTCGTGAGTCCTGCCTGCTATTGTTGTTTTCTTCTGGTCTGGTCTGGTTTGTTCTATTCTGTTCTGCGGAACGTGAGAGCATTGAGGACCTTTTCGGATGACCTCGTTTGCCGGTTCCAGCCTGCAGCAGGAGCAGCTGTACAGGACGCACCGGGGCCACGAGTCCATGCACATAGAGATGGCCTTGACCTTCTTCTGCACCCTGGTCATCGCTCAGGTGGTGCTGGTGCTGTGGCGACAGAGGCATGGCCGCTCCTACAATGTGAGTCACCCCAGCCCCTGGAAGCCTGCCGCAGCTTGTCAACTTGAGTGTCCCTTTCCTGTTGTTTGCCTCTGTGGTGACTGTGAGAGAGAGATTGGGCAGCGGTTCTCAGCCAGGAGCAGTTTTGCACCCAGAAGACATCTGGCAGTGTGTGGAAATGGTTTTGATTGTCATACCTTAGTTGGGAGCAAAAGGGGAAGGGAACTCCTACTGCCGTCTGGCAGATAGAGTCCAAATCTCAGGCAGGGCTCAGTCACATCCTGTCCTTCTTGCACCTGTGACCTTCCCACCCAAGTGTGTAAAGCAGAGGTTCTCAGATAGTAGGGTGCATTGGTGTCACCAGGAGGGCTTGTTAAATCATATTCCGAGGTCTCCTTCTGAAGTTTCTGGTTCAGCAACGACCCAATAACTTGCATTTCTAACAAGTGTCCATTGAGGTTGATGCCACTGGTCCCAGGCCCATTCTTTGAGAACCACTGCTTTAGACGCAAGCATGACCTAAGGCAGGAGGACGCTGTGAAGGGAGAAGGTCCTCAGGAATGGTGCTACATGGCACTGGGTGTTAGAGCAGTCACTGCATAAGATGACAATGTCATAACTGATAGCTGCCTCTGGACCAAGCCTAGCACTGTGTTTTATTCCTACTCTTCTTGAACATTATTTCCTATGCACACACTATTTAATGGAATTCTCAATACTGTATAATATTTAAGATTAGGCAACTCTTATTTTAGTGAGAAAGAAAATAAAAATAAAAATAAAAAATTTGTTTTATTTTTTAAAACAAATACCTGAATTTTCTACTATGTCACCACGGTCTTCTTAACTAAAATAAATACACTCTGTATTGCACCAGGTTAATTTTTTTAAATGAATCAAATTAAAATCAAATTTCACTATTCAGTCTCATATCAGAGAAAATTCCCCACATAGATCGTAACTTTACTTTTTCTACCTTCAAGGTGGAAATATCTAAGAGAAATACCTAAAGTGAAATGGAGTCCTAAGCAATGGATTCACACATCTATTCCATCTCAACTGATAGCTACCTCTGGACTAGAAAAAAAAAAAAAAAACCAGTCTGGTATCCATGGTAACACAGGTGCGGCTTTTGCAGACAGCCCTTACCCTGGAAAAGGAAGTTAGCTGTCTCCACTGTGTCACGCCCCTCCTCTGCCTCCTTTGGAGGACTTTTGAGGAGGCTTATTCCAAAGAATCCATCCTCATTACGTCAGCCCTTTGAGGACACATGTTTCTGTGCCACAAAACGTGGCACCCACACCCCGGGTGTATTCAGTCTCCCTTGAGTACTCGTGACCCTGGAAGGTTCTGACCTTCCTGACTCAGCCTCCTTGAGCCCATGCAGAGCTCCCTCAGCCTGCATGTGTTGGCCTGCCTGCTGAGGGGTCTATCTGAGCTATTTCCCGTTGTCCCCTGTGCAGGTGACACTGCCCGGAGTGCCTCCCCAGAGGCCCTGTCTTTGCCCTCAGAACCTCTCAGTTGACCAGTTTTGTTCCTTAAGGCTGCAGTTTCTGTCTCCTCTCCCACACTGCTCCTCTACCTTATGACTAGTCACAGGGGTTCTATGGTCCTAAGGGTTACCTGGGAGGAGACAGGTCATGATAACAGCCTCTCCTTCCTGACATTTTGACAGAGCCAAGGGCCTAGATAAGTATTTTGCACTGTAGTCTCCTGGTGGCCCCAGTGGGACTCAGTTGGGTTAGCAAAGAAGTTGGTTGAACCCCAAGATATTTTGTTCTTCTTTGTCTATCAGTCCCTTTATTAGTAACACTGTCCCAGGAGAAAGGGTTCAGTAGCCCCTGTTGTCTCTGTCACTCCTCTTTGGCACCTGGTGAGAGCAGAGCTTTCCCGTGTTGGAGGCCTGACGGGAATCTACACTTTCCTATTTCCTTCTTGGGAAGTCTCCAGAGCCCATCTTCAGAACATAGCCCTTTGAGGAGCACTCAGCCATGTCTGCAGTCGTCCTCAGGGTGCCCGTAGCTTATTCTAACCTGCTTTCCTACTGTACTCGCCATGAGCCATAATGCAAAAAGCCTGGACTCAATGAACAACTATCTGAAATGCTCTGGTCCTGGGATTTGATGGGCGTGTTTCCATAAATACCAGGCTTCACAGCCCATTCAGAGAGTACCTAGCTTTTAAGTTGTCTTTCTTGGCTCCAAGGTTCTGTGGGCCCTATCAGGGCGAATGAGACCTCTGAACACATAAGATTCATGAAAGTTTTGGCTCTTTCATATAAGGGATCATACAGTAAAGTTTATTTCCATATTAGTAACAAGCTCATATTATAATACTTTTATAATTACTACTGTAATATATAAGACAACTGTAGTATAAACTTTTATAAATTGTTATTATAGCCCAAAGAAGTGCTTTTGATACATTAGCTCAGTTAACCTGGGGTGGTAATTATTTTTATTTCCCTTTGTGCAGTATAGTTCAGAGAGTTTAAGTAAGTTGGCCAAAGTCATATAACTGATTAGTTGCAAAGAGAAGACCAGAGTCCAATCTCACTGGTTATTTGCTGTCAGATAAGGAAAGCTTCCTAAATACCTCCGAGCCATGGTTTCGTTATCTGCAAAATGACAGCACCCAAGATAAGAACCTGTCTTGCAGAGCTGTGGCTCAGGAGCACTTTCCCGTGAGGACTTGTCACAGCGACTGGACTCCTTAGCTGACCACCAGCTGTAACTGGCTCTGAATGTATTCAAGACATTGCTCGTCTCCAGCACTTCTGCAGATGTGACTGCATCCTGTGAAAGCACTCTGTCAATAAAAGAAGCCTTTCACAGATGCTTTGTAGAGCTGAAGTGATCACACAGCCACTGGCCCACGTGCTCCATGAGAA